CACACACACACACACACACACACACACACACACACACACACACACACACACACACACACACCGGACGACTCTGGTTGACTCACTGACACATGACACACACTTCGTAAATCTGTGTTGTGTTACTGGTGACGTTGAGATTATCAAAAAGTCAAAGTGACCCTGGAGCACATGAGCCAGCAGCAGTGAGAGTCAGGCCAGTCATCTCCTTACTGCTCTGTTCTGTTTTCACATTCCCTACCTGTCTTCACTTCTCTATCTGGATGAAAACAAAACAGACCCCAGCCACGCACCAAACCTAAAAAAAAAACCACAAGTCAGACTCAGCTGGTAATTATATATAAAGAACTGTTCTCTCTACGGTCACAGCTTGTAAGTAACACCATGCTTCAGCTGGCTAAAGCTGAAGAGGAAGTGAAGAGTTCAGAGCACAGCAGATAGTCAAAAGGAGAAGTTGAGGATTTCCGTTGTCTTAACTTGTCTGATCTAACACTATGAGTGTCCTACATTTTCCAGCCTCACCTACTGACTCTGACTTTGAGTAAAGCAGTGGGCCGGGCCGTTTCCACGCTCCACTTTTATAGCTTTATGGCTTCAACTTGAGCAGACAAATCTGTGAGCAAGGTCTTCTTTAATTTCCTGGAGTGAAACAGACGGGGTGCAATAAAACACGATTAAATGCACACAGAGAAGACAAAGGTAGAGGATTAAGAGAACGAGACAGCTAATCTTCTGATGGACTCTGGTCTTATGGGAGCAGGCGGACACATAAACCAATCAACCACATCCCGACACTCAGAGTAATCTGATATCTCACACACACACACACACACACACACACACACACCTATACTTGTTAATGTCCGATGAGTTTCACTGCACATTATATCGCACCAGAACTTCATTTGAACGCTTTGCCTGCTTGAAGACATTTACGCTCAATTAAATATTAGTGGAAGTCCATGAGAGTGTGCACGCTCTTGTGAAAATGCAGTTTATCTTTACAACCCTTTGCCAATAAAGCCGCGCTCATAAAGTCTACAGCTAAGTCATCAAACAGGAGGTAAACATCAAATCAGTGGGGATTGATTGAACAAAGTAAAACACTAATCATTCTTATCTTAAAGCTACAGCAAACAGCACCTTAAAATATATTAAAACCTTTGGAACTTTGGCACATTTTGACCACATACTTCTGAGTATTTAGGTCTGGACCATTCGAACGCATAGAAACGTGACAGAAAAAGTAATGAAATTAGTGTTTGGTAGATTATTCCTTTGTTGTAACAATGCTTCTTAGTAATAAATCTTATAACAGGCACCTGATTGGCAGCACCTAGGGGTACCAGAATCTCAAAACTAGGGTTGGGCAATATTGGCAAAAAATTTTATCGCGATTAATTGTGCTATTTAGCCGAGAACGATTAATTTGACGATTAATCC